GTACTGTGTATGACTGTGTATGTGACAAATAAAATTTGAATTTGAATTTAAAAGTGAGAACTCCTGCAGACACAGGGAGAAGATGCAAACTACACAGAGAAAGACACTGGCCAGATGCTGGATTTGTGAGATAAGTTGTGAGATAACAGTGTTAACCACTGCATCACTATGCTGTTGTGCTGTAATTTAAAAGTTTCTATATAATATATAACCAGGTACTTTGAGGTCTTTTGAGATTTAAAAAAAAGCAAAACATTTCTCAGTTCTGGCAATTAGATTTGGTTTCATTTTTCTTGATGATTTTCATAGTAAACTCAAAAATCTTTTAGTTCTGAACTGCTAGCCGGCCAATGAAAGCAATATGAAGATGTCCCTTTTGGTTTTAATATATTGTTATTGACACAGCAGTCTGGCATTTGTTTTTATTGGACCTACCAGTAATAAAAACACTCATTGGCTGTAGTAGGGTTCTTAAATGGGGAGATACAATGTGTGCTGTGAGAAAAGTCCATTGTGCAGAGTTGCCAAAAGAATGACTGAATTATAAGATGTTTGTGTAAACTGCACAAGCATACCCATCACTGTTCATCAGTAAAATAAAACGGCACCTGTTTATGTTTATGATGTGCCCGTTGTCCACATTTCTCTCTTTCATTGACTGATAAGCTTCACGTGCACAGATACACAGTGCAAGAACGTTCACCTGTAAGAAACCAGCAGTGAAATAAACGGTAAAACAAATATATGTAATCAATGCATCAAAATTATACTTTTCCTTGTTGCTATTTACACTCAAAATGAACAAATTCTTTTAATTCAATTCAATTCAATTTTATTTATACAGAACGAAATCGCAACAACAGTTGCCTTAAGGTGCTTTATATTGTAAGATAGACCCTACAATAATACATACAGAGGAAAAAACCCCAACAATACAATGACCCCCTATGATCAAGCAAGGTGGTGACAGTGGGAAGGAAAAACTCCCTTCTAACAGAAAGAAACCTCCACCAGATCCAGGCTCAGGGACTGCGACCGGGTGGGGTGAGAGAAGGAAAACAGGATAAAAGACATGCTGTTGAAGAGAAAAGCTTACACCTGTTGCAGGATAGCTAAGAGAGGATTCAGAGTCACCTGATCCAGCCCTAACTATATGCTTTAGCAAAAAGGAGTTTTAAGCCTAATCTTAAAAGTAGAGATAGTGTCTGTCTCACATATTCCACAGAAGAAGGGCCTGAAAACTGAAGGCTCCCATTCACATTTTAAATACTCTAGGAACCACAAGTAAGCCTGCGTTCTGAGAGCGAAGTGCTCTAATGCAAGGATACAATACTACTTAACATTAAGATAAGATGGGGCCTGATTATTTAAGATCTTGTATGTGAGGAGCAGGATTTTTTAATTCAATTCTGGATTTAACAGGGAGCCAATGAAGGGAAGCCAGTATAGGAGAAATATGCTCTCTCTTTTAGTTCCTGTCAGTACTCTTGCTGCAGCATTTTGGATTAACTGAAGGCTTTTCAG